TGCTTAAGTTTGGTTGGTCAGGTGCTCAGACACTAGCCTGTTCTTGGAGCTTCTCTGACCTACATGACTGTGTTCCAATAAAACTTTATTCACAAAAATCGGTGGTTGGCCACCGTCTACGGACCCCTGCTCTACAGGCACGTTTGTGTTGTCTCTCGAGATAACAGGTGCTCTGTCTTTCCTTCCAGGTGTGTGTTTTAGATCTGTGGAAGTAAACACAAAATATTACAGAAAAACTCACGAGTTGTAGTGGACCAGCAGAGAACGTGTGGGGTCGTGGCCCTGTTCAGACACCATTCTGTCAGCTCCAAAACTGTACGGACTTGACTTGCCTTAGAGTGTACTTGGAAATCAACTCGTCCCTGGCCACAGGAGTCTATATGTTTTCGTAGCCTTCATGGAGAAGTTCCAAACAAACAAGCAAAAACAAAAGCATACACACAGTCACATCAGAGGGGGATGAGTGGCCTCCAGCCAGGACCTTCAGCCTAGGAAACAGGAAGCTAGACGTGCCTGGTGTGGTTTCCATCCAGAAGAGGCTCTGATGTCCAAACGGAAAGCAAGAAAAAAGGAAGCTGTGCCAAAAAACAAAAACAGAAAACAAAGCAAAGAAGCAAAATGCTGTGATAAACCAGGAGGGGAAGCGTCCTCTCCTCGCGCTGGTGTTTTCTTTCCCCTGACAATTGGGACACTACAGCTGCTCTGGAAAAGGGTGTTCAAAGACCAGTTTGTACCGATTCGATGTGCAGCTTTGTAATCCCAACACTTTCTCTTTTCTAGAATCTTCTTTGTTCGGTGGTTTTTCTATCAGCTGGAATTCTGTAGTCTGGGGGCCTTCGGTCTGGGATGGAAACTGTTTTGGGTTTGTTGCGTCTTCCCTCGGTCGTTCCCTGCCCCCTCCACCTTTTCCCCTTGTCTGCTGTGGTCTGGCTTGTCAGGACCCCTAGGTTGATGCAGCCACATGGACACGGTGACAGAAGTCTCCAGTGGACAGCTTCCTCCCTCCCTCTGTCCCCTCCTCCGTCCCGCCCTCATCGCCCCTACCCTTCGCTCACCCTTCTCTGTCCCGTCCTCATAGTTGCTTCAGATCTTAGGTCTCAAGGGCATTTTGGGCGCATAATAAGTGCTTTATGTTAAGAAGACAGGGCAGGGGGACTTTTTATGGAAGAACAAAATAAGACTTATAAGAGAAAGAGCCTGGAGTATTTTTGGAAAGAAAAATATTTATATGTTAAAACAATTTAAAAATCCTAAAATGGCCATCAGACATAGAGAGCTGTGTGTGATTCATAGTCTAGAAAAGCTGTCAGGAGATGCAGGCAGGGCCCGAGGTGGCTTCCCCTGTGCCCTTCAGCTCCACAGGTGGTCAGGAAACTCGGTGGGAAGGGTCAGTCCTATGGGTGGGCAGCGGGTGGCTCTGCAGCCCACCGGGAGGACGAAGAACCACGTGGCCTCTTTTGGGGTGTGTGACCTTAGTGGCCGGCAGGAGAGAAGTGAATGCAGGACGGTGCGCTCTGACACCGAGGACACGTCCCCAGAACCAAGAGGCACAGAAGCCATCCAAAGCCACAGCTCAGCTCGCCGTGGCTGCAGCTGCCTCCTCCCCACAGCGGTGTCGTTTCTCCAAGAGCGGGCCAGGCCAGTCCTTGCAAAGCTGACGTCAAGGCTCCAGGGCATCACTTGGTCTAATGACAAAAGGATGTGCAAAAGGCAGCGTTGCAGCCCTAATGGCGAACGCTGTAGGCAGAGCGTCACTGATCATTTCTGCTGTCTTTACCATTTCCTTCTCTCACACGAGACTAGGAGAAAGAGGGATTTTTTAAAGAATGAATCTTTTTAGTGTTTTTAAAAAATTAAACAAGTCTTTGTGTTCCTAGAAAAGTTTCCTTTCATTGGATCGGGTGACCTTTGTGCACGTATTGTCACAACCAGACACTGGCTTACTTTTGAAATCAGCAACGGGGGCAGGGACCAACGGCTGAGGCCCGTCTCTCATCGGCGTCCTGTGGGCCAGGGAAGAGCTGAGGACAGTGGCGAGCCTGTGGCGGCGGGGGTGCCTGGCAGTGGTGGGGCTCGCTGGAGTGTGTTCCTTCCTGCCACGAGACTGTGTTATTCAGAGGGCGGTGCCCCTCTTTGGAGCCGAAAACCGACACCTGGGAAGGGCAGGGTCTTCCTAGAGAACTTGTAATGGGCCGGGAGCAGCTACCAAAGACAAGGGGCATTGGTCATTCCCTGGTCATTAATTGGCCTCCACCTGGGCCTGTGAATTATTCAAGCCCAAAAAGTGCTCTGTTTCCATGTAAGGCTTTATTGGGGCTCTGTCACCTGAACACTTAGTGACGAAGGCCAAAGTCCCATGGAGTAACCACTCCTGTGTCTGAAGACAGCCAGCACCCCCAGACTCACCGCTGATTCATGTCCCCAGAGTGCATGAGGTTTGGAGGGCAGCATGTTAGGTTGGAGCTGAGGGCTGGAGCCACGGACAACGGGCTTCCCATCCCTGTGCACAAGAGTGAGCCTCGGACGAAGGGAGGCGGCCACCCCCCAGCTGGCCACGGGGACCAAGCATGAGGGTGTCGCTGTCGCCCTTCGAATCCGTGCCTGTCCTCATCAAAAAGCACCATCGACGACTAGTTTGGGGCCCCCGACACGTGTGGCCATCACGCCCTCCTGCAAGGCATGCGGGAGATTCACCTTCAGGGTCCAGCGAGGCCACCTGGACATGTGACTTTCAGGCATCGCTTACAGCTCTGAAACCCTCATGAGGGACACTTCAGTCTTAGTGACCAAATTCAACCTCGAAAGCAGACATAACACAACGATCC